CCACTGTCACATCACTTGGGCTGAGTGGAGGCAAAGATGGCCACCTCCAGCGGAGCCTTGGCAGAGAGACTGTTCATCTATTAACGAGCTCAATTCAAGGAAAACCTGGGCTTCTCCAAGGTTTACTCTTGAGCGACAACATTATTTGAAGACCTCAGGGCACAAAGCCTTCCCTAACTCCCCGTGGCGCAGAGGCTCTGTCTCTGGTCATCGCATGGTAGCAGCTGCAGAGATACTTCCTCCCCCAGGCTGGCCTTCCTGCGCCTCTGCCTAGCTCTGCTGGCAGCAACAACTGAGCCCAGGCGAGCTTCCCCATGACAACTTTAGCAGCGGTAAGTAGGTATTCAGGCAACCTTGTTTTGGGTACTGACTGGAGAATCAATTGCGCTGGCCTTTCTTGGTAGCTTGGTTGTCACCCACACTGCCCTGAAGCTCTAAAAATATTTGTCACATTTACTGCAAGTGCTTGTTTACAAGTCTCTCCATTTAGGCTTTGGGTTTCCTTATGATAGGCAGGCAATAGATACTGTCTCATTTATTTTTAGCCTAGTGCTTGAGTTGTAATGGGAGCTGATGAGTAAGAGCAAGCGAGAGAGCTAGTGAGAGTGGGGAGGGGGAGGGGAGGGGAAGGGAGGGGGAGGGGAAGAGGTGGGAGAGGGACAGGGAGAGGGAGGGAGAGAGAGAGAGAGACAGAGAGACAGACAGAGAGACAGAGACACAGACACAGACAGAGAAAAAGGGAACAAGCAAGAGAGAGAGTTCAGTCTCTAAAGCTGCATGAATTGGTTAGGAGATGCCAATCTGGACTTCTGGATTCTAGTAGGTCCTCAGAAGTCCGCAGAGGCGTCGGGTAGGGATAGGAGAGGGCCTGTCACGGCACAGGGGCCTGACTTACTTCCTCCACGCTGGCATAACACATCTGTTATAACACTCATTCTCCTTATACACTGGATGTCCTTATTGGAGTACAATTGTCTGCTTGCTTTGTTCTGTGTCTAAAAAGTATTTGAAGAATATTGTGCTAGAGCTCTTAGTTTTTTCCAGTGTTCATATAGTCTGGGATGGGTAAGTACTTAGTTCAGCTTTTGTCTATCATTGGAAAGTTGTTCTGAATCTTTCTCTAGGACGTCTGCTGGGGAATGACACAAATAAGGGATCTTGCTTGTCAAGTGTCCATGGTACATTCCGTTGGCCAGAGCGCCAGCTGTGAAGTGGCTTCTGCTTGGCACCACGTGTCCTGATTCTGCTGAAGTGCGATGTTCCCAAACCCCAGGGGCTGTGAGGACTGCGGAGGTGAGGAGTGTTTCTAGCTTTTGTTTCCCACAGATAATATTAACGCAAACAGTCACACTTTTAGCACTTGTGTTGACTGTCCCCAGTTGAGGTGGTGACAGCTGCAGGAAACTGAACTGCTGTACAGAAAGGTGGGTCATAGACGCTCCCAGGAGGAAAGTGTCATGCAAGCTTGGAAAGGACATCATTATCACGTAACGCAGCACGCCTATAGCATAAATCAGGAATGAGCCCTGAGAGAAATTCCCACTGAGGTAGGACAGAAGAACTGAAGATAGGTCGGAAAGAGGTAAAGACAATCGGGATTTTAAAATTGTACTTTTAAGAAAACTGCAGCTTCAGTATACAATCGAAGGTACCTGAGATTACAATATGTTTTTCCCATCTAGGAAACTTTAGCCCCAAATTCCTAAGATTTTAAAGATATAATAAATGTTTAAAAGGAGTCCTTCCTTGTCTTACCTTTATAAAGTGAACCCTTGGCTTGCAACTGTAAATCGAGCTCTTGCACTCTGCAGATTGACACATTCCATAGAGTTTCACCTCCAGGATTGCACAAGTACCCCCAGCCTCAGACCGTAACCGGCTCACGGAAAGAGCGCCCCCTCCCACATGTGTACTTGCTTCTACCTAATACATATGAATATTCCTCTCACCAATAAGCCCTGAAATGCTTTTCTGTGCTAATCAAGATTCTACGTCATGGATGGGGTGAGGTGAGGTATTCATGTCCCTTGGGGGACCTCCTCAGACTTTATTAGTGGCCTTAGGACGCCATCTGCCTGCTTATTGACTACCTACCTCTTGAGTACCTGCAGTATGGGGGGCTATGGGGGCCATGGGCCATGGAAAGGTGAGTAAGAGAATGTGCTTTCGGTAGATGCTCATACTTGTGACGGCTAATCTTCCTGATCAGTTTGCCTGGATTAGGCGAGGCCTGGAGAGTTGGCTAGAGTGTGAGAGAGCAGATCCATAGAGAGGTCACAGCTGAGTGGGCTATGAGGAGGGGCCCAGTGGGGAGAAGTGGTCATGGGGCCAGCCCCTGGCAGGACACCATTTCTCGGGTGCTTCCCTTGCCACACTTCCTGATTGCCCTAAGGAGCACAACTGTCCTCCTCCCCGCCCTGCTGCCATGGTGTTTTTGCCCTAGAGCCAGCTGAGCCTGGCAGGAACTTCTGAAACCACGAACCCGAAATCCATCTTTCCTCCTCCAAGCTATGCATGTTAGGTAATTTGTCCCAGTGAGAGAAGGCTAATACCACACCACAATAAAGCAAGGTGAAGAAAATGACACAATTCAGGAGATCTGCAGCACAGACCAAAATGTCCAGATGTTGTGGGATTCCAGAGGACCAAGAGAATACTGTCCCCGAAGAAGGGGAACATGGGAAAAGTTCAGCAGGTTGAACGCATTTTTCTGAGGCTCTCAGAATGAGATTGTATTTGGATATAGGGTGTTAAAGAGGTCATTCAGTTAAATGGATTGTTAGGGTGACCTTATCTAATATGATGGTTCTCATTTTTTAAGAAAAGATTAATACACAGACCATACAGACAGAAAGTCAACCGTGTGAGGACAGAATGAGAAGGTGGCCATCTAAAAGCCAAGGAGAGATATCTCGGGGGAAAAATCCTGCTGGCACCTTTGTCTTTGTCTTCTTAGTGTCTGGATTTATAAGAAAATGAATTTCCACTGTACAACCCTCGGGGTCTGTGGCATTTATTTTTCAGCCCAAGAAAACCACTACACTCCTTATAAACACAAATCCTCGCACAGGATCCAGGCCTTTCTGGTGAAGGGCATGGAAGGAGCTGCCCAGGAACTAAGCAATATTTCCAGTTTGTGTTTCCTAGCCAGTCTACTGCTCCTCTGGCCTAGTCTATGGCTGCAGTCCCAGGCACCATGACAACGAGGGGCAGGTGAGAAGGGACATTCAATCACTTAACAAGAATGTCACTGGTCTATTCCATATATGGGGCTGCTTTTTTCTAGGTAGCCAGTCAGTTGGTTCAAAAGCTAACAATGACTAAGCTCCCAGGTCTTTGGGAGAGTGAATATTCCAGTTGAAACTGGAACGGTTAATGTTTGTTGACAAAATACTACTGGGGAGACTAATACATAAATGAATCTGTCTTTGAGGAGGCAAAGGCAAGCAGCGAGGTCAAGGTACACTTTATAAACCCTGCCTCCCTCTACTAGTCATTACTACAGCCAAAGACGGAGAAGTGTGAGGCTGGGGCCTTAATTAGGTGAACGCGGAATCTCATTGTAACCAATGGGAAGACAGGATTTCCAAAGACAATTGCTGGATATGACGAGCCCATTGTCCAGATCGGAGATAAGTCCTTATCTATCGTTGCTATGAAGGCAGTAACCAAAGACCATTTTATCCAAGTCTTCTCCAGCTTTAGAGATACCAAGGTTTTTCTTGTTTCTGGCTAGCAACTATAGAAAACGGTAAAACAGCGCAGTCTGGACTAGCCAGGAAGCCCCCAGTCGGGCAGCTTTTGAGGTTGGGAGCCCGACTGACTCGAGTTTGCTCCGGGCTCCTGTGGTCACTATTCGGCCTTGGCACGTCACTTAACCTCAGCGCCCTCCGCTTCCTCACAAGTGAACTCAGGGTGAGGAGGAGGATGTAGTGCGATTGTGCTTGTGAAAGACAACAAACAAGCTGCCTGGAGACGCTAGGCGGGCTTGGCGTGCTGCCAGGGGAGTGGCTCCCGCGGCGCGTGGCCATCCTGGCCCGGGTGGCCTCTGACAAAAGTTCAGGAACTCTCCACTGTCCCTTCACTCACAAAGCAAAGGGGAGCAGCCGCCCCCAGACACCGGGATGCCCCCTTCCGGGACCGAGCGGCATCCCCAACCTGCGGGCGGGCGGCCGGAGGAGTCTGGGCGCAAGGGGTCTGGCGATGCTTTGGACACTTTCGCAGAAAGTGCCTTATACCGCAGTACTCGTGAGCACAACAGCACCGGTACGACTTCCTACTTTGGGCCTATGTGGGGCCTTTTGTAAAACAATTTCATATAGTAAGACCCGAGCCTTCTAAAGGTTTTGGAACCTCAGCAGGTAACCAGCAGTGGGAAAACTGGGTCACAACCTGATCCTTAATAGGCCAGGCTCTGAGTGCAGACGGCTAAATTACCACGGCCGATCCAACACGGCTGAACCCCAAGACAGCAGCTTACCTTCCCAGCCACCACGTCCGCTTCCTCCCCGCTCCAGCCCTGGATGCGACTTCACCCTACCTTCCGCACACACCCGGGTGAGCCTCGGAGCAGCCCCCCGGTGTGTCACTCTCACCTGCTCCTCAAGCCAGCCGCTAGCAAAAGCCCCTGAGGTCCGTGCTCCCGTCTCAGTCACAGGATCTGCCCCCCTGCCCACCTGCCTGCCTGCAATCTCCTCCGTGTTTTCAGAGTTAATAAAGGCTCCCCTTCCCCGTTTCTGCCTCTCTGCTGCGCCGCCGACGCTACCGCCACCGCCGCCACTGCTGGCTCGGATGAAACCTATCAATTGTCACTCCTTTAAGTTCAACAGGAATTTTGTAGCTTGTTTCTGCCTAAACGTAAACATAAAGTAGGTTCTGAAAAATTATTGAAAAGTAAGTCTGACCTTATTCTCATACTCCAAATATAATGACAGTATCATGTTAATCTATTTTTCCAGGCTTTTTTCTATGTTTAAAGAAACTGTTTAAACACAGATAAGATAATACTACATGTAAAATTTCATACTCTTCATTTCACTTAAAAATATACGATTAGCATTTCTCCATATACTAGAAATTCAACTTAAGTATCTGTAAAACTTAAAAAAAATTAAAAATTTATGACTAAAATTTTCCAGTTGATTGTCTATACAGTTCCCTTGTTATAAGTTATGCTGTGATACTTGCAGTTTTGCATTTCTGACTGTTTTTGGATTCAGCTACTGTAAGCGAACTTCAGCAACTGATGAGTCTTTCATGAGTTTAGCGAACACTAAGCACGTGCAGGGCTGGGGCCGTTCTCACCCTGGCAACGGAGCATCCCCCTCGCTGAGTGAGGACTCTGGATTTTCCTCCTAGCTTCTGGCTGACAGTGGAAGGGCCTGCTACGTCCTCATGTAGTTGTTGCTGCTTCTGATATTCTGGTTTTTATTTAAGCAAAGGGCAGAGTGTTTAAATCTGAAATACGGT